GTCCGCGGCCATTTTCCGCCGTGACACGTGGTCCGCGGCCATTTTCCGCCCGTGCCACGTGGTCCGCGGCCGTTTTTCCGCCCTGCCGCGTGGTCCGCGGCCGATTTTCCGCCCTGCCGCGCAGTCCGCGGACGCCGGAACGGATTAACGGTAATTACATTGAACCTTACGGGAAAATTTGTTTCGGGTTGCGAACAAATCGGGTTGCGACCAGTCACGGAACGGATTAAATTCATAACCCGAGGTACCACTGTAATAGAAATTAACAGTTCCTTGTTCCCTAGCTCCCAAGTGAATCAGCAACAGAGGTTTTTAAAGGTTGGTAAAATTTAATTAATGCCAAACTCTAGTCCAATGCAGAGCACTTATGTACAACTATTAAACAGAGACCACTACAACACAAAATTCGAAATCTAGGACTTCAGCCTTGTACAGAAAGGCTGTGGGAAGGTCTTATATTAGTTGCCAGCATAAAACAGTACACATCAACTATCAGTTTTGATCAATTCCCCCCCAAGTATATGATTGTATGTAGTTTGCTTACTTTATATATTCGAACTAGCCAGTGTTCTGTGGTATATGCTTCTTCCAAAACATCAAGCTCAAAGTCTTTGTTGCCAATTTCAGCATTTCTCACTCTGTCATAACCTGGTGGGCGTTCTAAACACGGAGGACAGAAAAAAATGACTGGAAAAGCTTCCCTATTGACCATCCATTCCTTATCCTATTAATGCCAGCTATCCCACCCTAAAAAAAACACCTTTGGGCTTTTTCAAAAATCGGGGTAACTTTTTTTAAAGGCAGTATTACATCCATTATAGCCTATGCCTTATTCTGTATCAAGCTCGGAGAGAAGACAGAAGCAAAGCAAAGGGGATGTAAAATATGGCCACATCATGATATAAATTCCAGGTTCTCATAAAGCAAATAATATGAAAGACTATTGGCAGAAATCATAGAAAGCTGTAGAGAAAGTAACAATGGAATACAAATCTGGTTCAAGCTCAAAACATTTCCAAAATACTCAAAATAGCACTTTTAGTGCTCAAGGTAAAATGAGATAAAATATTTTATACACCCCAATGTTACTATTATCCACTCCATGGAGAATATAAAAAAAACCAAAACAAAAACACGGTAATTTTCCAAGGAACAAATTGTACAAGGCACCTAAGATGACTCCATCACGACATGCTAACTGCAGAGAGGAGCAGACAGACAGAGAATAAGGGAACATCCCAAAATCTAACTCCTGAATCATTCTGCAAGATACAGATGAAATCACTCACTAGCTTCTGTGTAGACCTGTCCAAAACGGTAGTAGCACATCTTGTACATAAGGCAGTTAAGCAGCACCGGGGAGCCCTCTCGGTCCACCCGGAACTCTCCTGTTGGTGTATAGTAATCATGCTCTTTTATGTGCTTCCCAGTGTCTGTGCTCCCTCCAATTCGCACCATCCACAAGAATTTGTTGATATCTTTGGAAGAGAAAGTAATGCAATGGATGAACCTGTTCTAATTCATCAGTGTTACAAGAGGCTTTACCTCCTAATATCAGAGATCCCACCCAAAATTAGTCTCTATTGCTAAATTAACTGCATTATACCATCAGGGGGAAAAAAAATCTCTCACTCTGGATTAACAAGGCCATCTGTTCATTAATGGGCTTTTTATACAGAAAACATGAAGAATACAAGAAGCAATTTATCAGCCGTTGTACCGAGATGGATTAGGTAGTGATGTGCAAAATCCAACAATTCAGAAACTCTGAAAGTTCCTTTCATGGGAAATAATAAAAACACAGCATTACCATCTGAAGAATATCCAGTGAGGCCTCCAAATATTACTAGGACGTAACTGACATCCAGCTCCCTCATGATCTCGTAAGCACGCTCTTCTGTGGATGCCATGGCCTGGAAACACATCAGCTCATGAATTCAACTGTCATCAATTTCCTGACTTATAAAAATATGTTGTTATGACTTTGGGCCACTTATCTACCACCTCAGTCATAACGGGTGCCAGCAATTTACAGGTAAAACAGAAATGAATAAGGATCTCACGCCTGCATTCAGAATTCCCTGAAGGTATAAAGGTTAATTCCCCATAATTTTTTTAAAAAGATGCTTTTATGAATTCAGAATACAACGAAGAATCATGGAAGTAATTCATAAGCCTTCAGCACCTACCTGACCAACTCGGGAAATATGCGTATTATTCCAAGTGTTATTATCCACAAGGATGGTTCGATTTGCCATGGCTGTTATCTGATAGCCATAATCCCACCAAGACATAACTTTTGCATCCTGAACTCAAACAAAAAGACAATCCATAACATTTCAATGAATTAATATGCAAATAAGACACTAAATTAGTGTTTCTCAACCTCAGCAACTTTAAGATATGTGGATTTCAACTCCCAGAATTCCCCAGCCGGCCATGCTGGCTGGGGAATTCTGGAAGTTGAAGTCAACACATCTTAAAGCTGCTGAGGTTGAGAAACGTTGCACTAAATGCAAATGAGCTGATTTGCGATGCTATATGGTGAAAAAAGGCTGGCTACAAAACATGTATTTTTCTGGTTTGTATTAGAAGCTTTTCAGTAGAATGAGAATGCCAACTCTCTAATAATTAAGATGATTAAACGGCTTTGTCCACATGCAGTGAAAAGATAAAAGCAAAACTATGAGCTTATTACACTTGCAGAGAATGTATTTGTCCCATTAGCTGTTTCAGAAATCTTTGTGATATATAAATATAAATTAGCTGACACACAGACTTTAGACAAAGCTTTGGTCACTAAGACTGAAACACAGACCTTTTTTAGCATTATGAGAACCTACAATCTGTTCTAATTTTCTTATCAAGATGCTTGCACAGAGACCAATTGTGCAGGTATTACCTCGGGTGTATTGTGACGAAGCCAATAATAAGCTTCTCTGAAGTCATCAAAAATAATCCTGCTCCCATCGCCACCACGAGCAGACAGAACTATTGAGGGAGAAGAGTATGCTTCACTGGTTACCCAAGTAGAATGAAAGGTATAAGTGATCAAGAAGAAGGCCATGACAAGGATCATTCCACTGGCAACCTAAGAAGCAACAGGAATCATTAAAACATGCCTAAGGTACTTTGAAAGAGAACACCATCTTGTTAAAGGAATGTTTTAATAGGCATTCAGAAGTGTCTATTTCTCCAGCAGATAATCTAGAAACAGTTCCAACAATATCTCCTTCCATTACTAGTAAAGCATCGTATGTCCATTATTGTAAATTGCATTTTTAGCTTACAACTAAATTAAACTAAACAATTATGCTTATACCACCACTCACTTCATTTTTGATGGGGTAAGTAGAATCCTGTTGTTTTTTTGATTTCTTGTCAGGTCGGCTGATGTCTAGATTTTTCATGTAAGTTGACAATACTTGAGAGACTCCAATGCCAGACAGAATACACATAACTGGGGCCAGTACCAGCATGAGACGAACCTATTAAGACAGCAATATACTGAGCACATTCAGCCATATGTGTATACATTATTTGCTGGGAGGTGAAATTGAAAAGGGGTAATCTCCTGGTAAGCCAACATTCAGGACTCACCATCACAGCAGAGAAATACATGCTGGTCACACCATACATGATGATAAAAATTCGAGCATCAGATAAATGACTGAAACAGTAATACAGACCAACTGTAAGACAGAAAGAGAACAGGTCAGCTGCTAAGCAAGCACAGAATAAGATATAGAAGAATCTTATCAAATAAAGCTTAAGACTGAATTAGGCATTTGCAGAATACAAATTTTCAAGGCACCAAATTCCAAATCCTTCATAATACCATCTTCCAATCAACTTTTTTCCCAAACTATTTGCTTGAACCCCTTTCCTAAGACCTTTCTTTAACTCTATTTTTCTAAGTATGGATCTGGTCCTTTTAAAAAAGCCAGGTTTCAGCAGAAAATTGTCAACGTGAAAGCATTTAACACATTTCTATACTAGTCAAGTCAAATTTTATTTTGGTCGAAGACCAGTATAGAACAAAGCAATTAAAAAACTGTTTGAAAGTAAAGAGGAGGACTAAACATAAGATACAAGCTAGAAGAATAATACAGAATATTATTGTTGCACATTTCTATACTATACAAACCTGGAAACATGAAAACAAGAAGTTGAAGATCAAAGTAGTAGGATGACCATGTGGTGGGCTGGTGCTCAGAAACTGAAGCAATGATTGGAATATTATTCTTTGCATAAGAAGGATCAAGCAATGAGTAGAAGCGTCCAGTCCATGGGGAAATTTTTCCTGATAAAATTGAGAAACAACCAGGCTCAACAAAAATATTAATGGTAGCATTATAATATCATTAAGTGATCAATATCTCAACATACCTGCATAATGCCTGAATTCCCTATGTATCTCTTATATTTCTAAAACAGAAATTCAGTTTTGCTAAAAGATAGAATCAAAATATTTATCTCAATTATGCCCATAATATTTAATCAGGATTATTTCTCCTTCCTCAAACTTATATTAAGATAATTGTTTTGCCTAAATGTAAAACTCTACTCCTGCAACCCAGACTGCATTTCATTATCCAGAACTCCCCAAAACTTCACTCACATGACTAAGTCCTACTGTTTATTTGATATGAAATGTCACCCAAAAGCTAGAGTGCTTTTATCTATTTCCACAATGTAAGTTGCTTTCAAATAAGTAAACAAAAACATTATTTTCAGGAAGCTGAAATGCCTCAAGATGCATGCTGACACAGTGAAACTATCTCATGTGTTCAGAGAGTTTATTGAACCCCAGAAAGAAAAAAGGAGAGCACACCAATCAAAAGCAGAGAAACTTTTCACTAAAATATTACTTTTCTGGATCCAATGGATTAATGTTCCAATGAAACTCTACAGAAATACATTAGTACACATTTTAAGAGCTGCAGCTACCTGTTAACATCAAAACAGCTCCTATTGACAGAAGGACAAAGCCAACCAAGGAGATCACACTCCTGAAGAGAATCTCAAATTGCTGAGGATTCAGTTTGCTGCGCAGATAATCCACGAAGGCATGAATCTGACATAGACCAAATACCCCCAGGGCAGCCATATGTTCAGATGAAAGAACAGGCTATGGGAAGGAAGGAATAAGCACAGTTAAGCTACTTTTTATGACAATTAAATGCTTTTCTCTGGCCAGCAGCCTACACAAGTTAGCTATTTGCCACAAACCACTATCACTAACAGATGGCCAAATCCATGGACAATTATTTCAAGAGCAGAAAAAGTTTTACCCAATTTTCCTCATTCTCTTAGATTTCTTACCTGGAAACCGACAAAAGAGATCTGCATTGAGAGGATAGTTCCTAGGCAGTACACAGTGCAATAAGCCACATAAATCCGGTGGGAGAACCGTCCAGTCAACATCAGTACCAGGACGTGAAGTGGAATTAGGTTAATCAAAAATACATAGCCACCCCAAGAAGAAACCTGGGAGAGAATACATGGAATACAGCAATTATATTTCTAAATGCCGTAAGTGTCTGACAGGTTGGGATGCTGGAGAGGCGAGTGACACAAAGGCTTTGCTTACCTCAACAATCTTATTGTTCTTAACTGCTAAGATCGAGGGTTGAGTATTCCTTTTGACATTAACATGCCAATCTTATAACACAAGCAAGACCAGCTGCTGGTCTATGGGGACTAATATAATGGTTTAAGTCAAATTAGGAGTAGGAAGGCACAGCCTGTTTGCCTTCATTCCCGAGGTTCAGTGACTGACTCCAGACCAGAGACAATCTCTCAGCTTAACCATCTGGCATGACTTTTGTGAGGGTTAGGATTGCATTGGGGAAGGAAAGAGAAACATTCTCTCTCCGATTCCAATAGGTAAGATGCAATTTAAATTTAACATATAACTAAGCTGTGAAAGAAAGAAACTAATCCGGCCTTTATTTAGCAAGATATAAAAATATAAAAATAGCTTGGCTAAGGAACACAGATGGAGGTTAAGAGTTGTCTGAAATAAGGAGAACAGCGGCACTAATCTTTCCTTTCCTTCTCCAAGTATAAAGGCCGATACTTTATATGAAGCTATGTAGTCCTTATCACCAAACCCGATGGCTTCAGAAACTTACAATAATATAACAGTGCTTACAAATGTGCAAAGTATAAATAACTTGGGAAATGATTCCAGGCAGGATTTAGTCTGTTTTGATGGGTTTACTCAAGGCATCTAGTGAAAAGTTATCACTTACCATGTAGAAATAGGCAAGAGCGCAAATGGCTGCCCAGTAAATAGAACCTGTCTTCACAGCTTTGATCCACATATAGTAAGTCAGAAGCATGCAGAATATAGCAATGCCTGGAAATAAACCAGATCTAAGTCAAACTTCTCTCTCTCTTTCAATCCAAAGATGCGTAAGGACAAACCTGTATTCCTACATAATAGAGCAAAAGATACTATAAAGCAGTATTTCCCAATCTTGGCAAATTTATGGTTTGTGAACTTCAACTCCCAGAATTCCCCAGCCAGCATGTCCACATATCTTAAAGTTGCCAGGGTTGTAAACACGGCAGTATGAAGTATCAGAAAGAAAAGGGGACAATTTATCATATATTTGTCTCTTAATTTTTCCTCACAGTGTTCACTTACTCTTATTCATGTTTCCAATTTATATCCACCCACAGGGCATGTGGCACATCCAGTAACAGAACTCCATAATTTTTAAAAACTTCATGAAATTTTATGAAGACTGCTATTGGTATCAGCAGAGAGCTAATCATTGTTTTAAAGGGTTCTTAAACCTTTGCACCATTTCTTTATAACAGATTTTTTTTCATAAAACTCTGAGAAGCAGCTTTCATGTGAAAAATGCATAGCAATGAAGCCAGAAATAGGACCCCTAACTATAAAGTAATTTTACTGCCAATAAAATTATTAAATCCAAAGCTTCTTTATTTCATACCAGGAACAAATGATTATATATCTGGCTTAATATTCAGATGGTTCCAATTTTAATTGTATTAGTCCATTGACTCGAGAGATGAATTAGGAGCATTAAATCAACACGCATCAGCCTTTAGAGATGATTACCAATACACGAATCAGGACTGAACCAGCCGGTTTCTTCAGTCCTTCTTGTCAGAGATCTTGGCATTTCTTTCCCATATAGACACACACACACACACACACACACAGCTTGTATGACTGAGGAGGGAGAACCTTTTTGGTCCTCTTTCTTTCTAAATCATGAAATCTCCTCATGCAATTATAGGCTGAAACCATTAAGAACATTTTAAAAAACTGACCTCACCTTCATTATCGTAAGAGCCGGCAACAGAACGGGAGATATAACCCGGCACCACAGCAATCATTGCAGCTGCCAAAAGACCGGCTCCTGCATCCTAGACAGACAGAAAGAAGAAAGTCACTCATGCTGACATTGTTTCCAAGATCTGTAGAGAATACAGCTAGAGAGGGTCCATGTATTTCTTAGTCAGGCATGACCATTTTTCTTGCCTTTACTATTATTTTGCAAAAAGGGTACAGATCCAAAAGTAATGAATGAAGGGTGTTACAAATAAAGGCTTAATCTCTTCCATTACAAAAGCCCAAGAAAACTTCTAAATCCTGACCAGCAAAAGTCTTCCCATTTAAGCATCTATATTTTATTTCAGTATGTGACCTTCCATTATAAATCAGCATATATGAATGGTAGATCAGTCTTCGGCATAAGCATCTAGAAGCTTAAACAATCTTTCAGTGCAACAATACATGGGAAGATTGTGTATTACACTTTTCTTTACTGCTTCACAATATGCTAACACTATACCAACACAGATTTTCACTACCTCCTGTTTCCCCAAATAGAATGATTATATTAAGTTCTGAACAGCGTACAATTAACTATGAGATTATCCTTGCTTAAATCACAGCCAATCAATAGCTGAAAGGAGGAGGAAGCTTTAGAAATAAACACTGCCAGTCTCAACTCTTCTACAGCAATGCACAGAAAGTACAGCTACAATTCCCAAAGTAGGCTCTATCTTTGTTGTTACCTTAAGTTCTTTGGTGAGGTGATATGTTACTATGGTGGTGAAAGAAGAAAAGAGGGGAGCCAGAAACACACACACATTTCGGATGTCAATTGTAATGTGGAAGAAGTGCAGAACATGGTAGATGGCAGCTGATGTGATCATTAAACCTGAAATAAAGTAAAGCAGGGATGTCATTTGCAAGGAATCACTGGTCTGCTGGATCCAAAAGTGAAAGTGATACGTTTTGAGAGACTTAAGCAAAATCTGGTCCACTGAGAAAACTAGCTCTCAGTATTAGTGGCCCACTACAGGCTTTCTTATATATCAGTAAGCATGCTTTTTCCTATAAAATGAAGTCAATACCACACTGGATTAATTCTGATTGGTTGCAGCATTACTTGAAAAATGAACAACACTGCTTACCCATTTGGGGAGACTCGTATCTTTAATCCACAGAACATCAGAAAAGAACCGTTCTGAAAGGTGATGTTGTTACAATACATTGTGCATTTGTGTTTCAGAAATGCCTGGCTCTTACCTGGGTAGATGGTTCCACCTATGATCCTCCCCAGGGGATACCATGCTCTATCATCAAACCAATTGTGAAATTTATAGAAACCCTCTTCTGCCAAGAAGCGAGTGGTGCGATAGTTAAAATACCTGTGTGTGAGTAACAGAAATCTGAGTCCCTTGGCAGTAAGATTTTACTGTTTGCTGTTCTTCGTATTATAGACTTGGCCTTCAGTTACAGTGCTTGTGTAGAAAAGCTCCCAATTCTAATATACAAATCAACACCAACTTGATAACAGCAGTTTCTCTTTTCACTTGGAAACAAGATTCTTATAAAATCCAAGCAGAAATATCCCAAATGCATAAAGGGTTCAATCTTCTCTGAAGGCAACCAAGAAAATTTAGCCTTGCATTGCATTTCCAATAGATTATTAGGCACTCTTTACCTTACTGTAGTAATATAAAACATTCCCTTATACAAACTGTTCATCAAACCAAACAGTTGCAGCTAAAGCATCTAATACATCCCATAACTATTCAACAGCAGCACAGGAATCTGAGTCAATCTCACAGTTGTAAACATTACTTAGAAGAAAAGATTGTATTATATTTCAAGTTTTCTAGTAAATCCAGACAGAACTGACTAGAATATTAATTTTATTGCAAAACCCACTGAATTTAATCCTACTTAAATTCTCCAGAAAAATACTCTTCCCTGATACATTTTGAAGCCCTACTGCTGAAGCAGAACAACCTATTTTATTATTCTGGAGCCTAACATTCTACAGCAACAAAATCTGCACCTGAATGCGACAAGGCAGATGATTTCTCAAATCAAATCAGAGTCAAGAGGGATACTTACGGATCAAATTCATGAATGACACTCTCAAATCGTAACACAGAGAAGAGTCTAGTAGAAAAAGCTGCAACCCAAAGAAAGAAATATGCACAGGTGATTAAGCGATCTTAATGTTAGTTATTTGCTGATTGGAAACATAAAGGCCAGAAATTTTGAGACACATCAAGTCAATACTGATTATATGATTAGGAGAACAAAATACCAAAGTTCAAAAGGCCATTCGCACTAAAAAAAACAACAGATAATGCTTATTATACATTACCCTTGCCAGCTAGAGTTTTTAAAGCTCAAACTTACAGAGAACAGCTGCCATTGACAGAATGAGGAGCTTGAGGAGGGTGTCCTGTTTTTCATAGGACAAACGGAGGAAACCTAACTTGGTCATTCTGGCAAAGGTAACCAAAGGCAGCACTTAAACACCTGAAAGGGAGAAACAAGAAAATTAATAAATACAAATTCTTCAGATCATCCGTATTAATGCACCATAAGCAAACATTACATGGGGTGGGATGGCTGCACAGATCTTCATTTTATTAGGATCAAACAATTTTTCTTCAGAAAGGCATTATTTTCTCAAAGCAATGTACAGGTACCATCCATCCATATAAGTCAGGGTAATTCTATATATACTTCCCCAAAATTCAGTGGGAAACACATCTTCAAGAAATGTTCAAATTTCATTGCTTTGTTTAATCACAACCAGCATGATGGTTTAAGGACCTAAACAATCAATGCCAACTAAAACAAGGAAAGGCTTTCTGAATGAGGTTTTCTTTCTAGTTAAACGTGTGTTCACAATGGATTCGACTGTTTAACCATTTTTTAAAGCTTCAAGAAGTAAAAGTTATGAAACACCACAAAACATTTGCCAAAACGTTCATAGCAAACATTTCAGTATTGCTTAAATTATCTTTTTCCACCCAGTAGCCTACAAAGGGACCTCAATTATTGTAAACTTTTGGATGTGGGTTTCAAACAGATGTTCAGGTTTTTAGAAGTCTGAAAAGGTTATCCTGACAAGAAAACTTAACAGAGTTTATCTGATGCAACCTTTAAACACTGCTTAGAGTAAATATTTGTTCACTAGCCAAGAGGGGAATCTACAGGAACATGTACTTTATAAAAATGAAATCAAGAGGAAAGTTAATTGCTTAAAAAGCCACATACATGGTTTATTTTTGCTAACAGGTGATCAAAGAGAAAGAAGAAACCAAAGTTCTACTTCAGCTTCCTATCTGAAATCCACTGTCTTTCAAACCAAGCTTCATTTAGCATTCAATAACAATCACAGATTTTATCTTAAACTACTCTTAGAAATGAATAAGAACAAAGTTTCCAATAAAAATTCCAATAAAACTAGAATTATAAGTGCTACTATTCAAATGCCCCAGTTACTAAATTACAAATGTAGAAGCTCCCACTAAAAATCAGAAGCAGTGCTAGGAACTATCAGTTAAGAGCAAACAGAATGAATAAAACATTATGACATCCCAGGCCAAGTCAGTCAGGCATATGAGTCACTTTTCAAGCAGGTTTCCCATTTTTAAGCTCACAACTGAACTGTAAGGCTGGAATACAGTATTGTTAATTTCAAGGCCACAAACGTACACAACAAAATTGTTCTAAATATATATTCCACTGTGCCTTTTTAAACACAACCGTTGCCACCTAGAACCCTACAGAATCATTCCTATACTCTGAGATTTAAAATCACTGAAAAGTCATCAAGGTGACATGAACCAACTTACCCAACTCTCCAACAATGACCTGAACAGATCTCCTTTCCAATTCTCAATGCCCCTAAACCCTTCTGCACAGTATAATATATATATATGAAGTATAGGTGGAACGTCAGACTTACAGAGATACAGATTTGCACTAAACATTAAGAGAAACTTCTCAACCTTCACTTGCAGTGAAACAGATCTCCAAGATTCTTTCCAAATTTTAATTTTCAAAAATTATACATATAGGGACATGATTTCATGGATTTAAAAGACCTTTGTGCATGCGAATGCTGCATGGAGCAAAGTCCTTGATGCATTTTCAGCTGTCCTGAAAAGGTGAAAATATATAATATGCAGCATAAGAAACTATGTGAATAAAACCGACAAACAGAACCACAGCATAAAAGTCAAACTTGCTTTACAGTTAATAAGATCATCTATCTGCCTTGTCTGGAAATGTCTAATCGGACAGTTATTAGCCTTCTAATAGCACTGCTAACACATAACGTTTTGACTGGAAATCCATCGGCCTGGACCCTTCCAAATGCCACAGTTACACAACTGTGATCCCTGTGATAAACAAGGCTGTCAAACACTGAGGAGGATGATATCTATCTCACAGGTAGAAAAATCAAGGAAAGTAAAAATGTTCCCGGGGGCCTGAGGCAAAAGGAAAATGTAATGACAGAATACAAGCCCCATTCTAGAGTTCAAATGGGTGGAGAAATCATACCTTAAAGCTCTATCAAGCTTTAAAATACAGAGAAATCCCGTTCAATGAGACAATTAGGCTACACCCTTCCTGGAAGCCCTTGTATTTTCCTGCTTGCAGACAGAACGTGGTTGGTTTCACACGTTGCACAAGGCCGTCCTGAGCTCTGCTTCTGGCTTAAAGGAATAGGTGAACTAATAAACCACGCTTAAACGGATCCGGGTTTAAAGCTAACGTGTGAAGTCACCCTGCCTGCGTGTTTTGATTTAACTCATCCTCTTCGCGGGGCTGAAGCAGCGCTTTCGGGGGAAACCCTTCTCTCCCCTCCCTGAGGGCTGGGAAGGATGGGCACCTTCTCCCTGATGAGCTACTTTTCTAGCTGCAAGACTCCCTGCAGGTTTAGGGATTGGAAGACACCCGGTCAGCGGCGGCCTGTGCAGAATGAAGTCGCACAGCACGCTCGGCCGCCTGGGGAACCAACCACCCCTTCCTTCCAGCGGCCGCCCTAGGCCGATCGCGCGTGGGGTGGGGGGGAGTACCCACGGCCCCCCAGCGGTGACCCCGCCGCCCAGCAGCCGCCCTCCTCCTCTCCCTCAGGCTGCAGCCACGCCGCCTTCCCCGCAGGATCCCCTTCCACGCCTGAGACGCCGGCCGGGCGACGTTTCCTCACCCGGGACTCAGAATTCGTTCTTCGCCCCGCTCCCTCAGCCATCCGCTCCACGCGCGCCCACTCCCAGCACCGCAGCCCGCCCGCTTCCCCGAGCCCGACGGTAAACAACTACTGGCGGAGGGGGACGTCAATCACGTCTATGGGCCCGCCCTACGGAAGAGACGACTGGACAGAGGGCACGTTCGTCACCGAAGCGGAAGCTTGAGGGACGAGCGCCGCGAGCTCCGTCCCCGATAAGAGGGGAGGCGTGCCGACGGGGGTGGTTGTCTTGGAGGATGAAGGGAGTTTGGTTGAGACACGAGTAGTGACGTGTCGCTCTGGGGTAACGGGCTAAGACAGACAGAGTTTGGAGGGGGCGTGGCCAGAGGCTTTCACGTGGCAAGAGACGGCGTGGGGCGTTCGTGGCTAGGAAGAGCCGGCCGGGCCTCCAGCGTGGGTCGGGACCGGCAGACTTGAGATGTGGAGTCTCCTGCAGCCTTCCCCGGTCCGACGCCCTCCAGCTGGGCCGAGTGCGACTGCCAGAAACCCGTCAGCGTGACCGCACCAAGCTGGGCATTAGGGCAAGTCTACAGTGCCAGCGCTTCCGGAGGGCATCAGGCTGACAACGGCTGAAGACTTTTAAAGGGCCATTTTGGCGGGCGACTGATTGCTCATCAGTTAGTTGTTTTATGGCTAGACGAAATCAATATGCCACTGATTTCAGTTGGCGTATTCCCAAGTAAGCGTACCTAGCTGGTAGCTTGGGGTATTGTTTGCCCAACGTCCAGCAGTTACAGTGCAAAACCATCTCGGTCCGAAGACTTTCTCTTCCCATCCCCTTTTCAAAACGAGGCAGAGTGGCAATTGGGTACAAGGACGCCCCTTTCTCAGCAGTACCTTCTCTTTTTCTAGTGATATAGGACTCTGCATTTTAAAGATGGAAGAAGTCTTTAGGACAGAGGTGGATAAGGAGTGTCTACACGTGGCCCTCAAAACCTTGGGGGCTACCCCCAAAATTAAATAAATGTTTGTCAGAATCTTTTTGTCAGACAGGAGAAATTGTTAATAGAGGAAGGCTGCGTTTGCACTACACACTAGATAGGCTAATGTGGCGTGGAGAGTTGGTGGTTCTGTGGGATGTAAGAACCTAATACATGTGATTTATTTAGGCAAGAAATGTTACGTGCATACACATTAATTGTATTTACCCCAGGTTTAGTTTACCGTGTGTAAATCCAGCCCAAAGAGTAGTAATATTTACAGTATTTTATTAAGTGTAGGACTAAATGTTATCAAAATTAAAAGTTTGGCCTTTCCCCCATCCAGTTCTCAACCTGGTTCTATTTTACCAGATTTGAAGGGCAGCCTCAGACATCTCTTTCAAAGGTATTCTTTAGACAGTAATGTGCATTACAGGTAGTCCTCACTTAATGACCACAATGACTGGAAAATTGGTTGTTAAGCGAGTCACCATGTGACCAGACCTGATTTTACGAACATTTTACAATGGTTGTTAAGTGAATCATGTGGTTAAGTGAATCCAGCTTCTCCAATGGACTTTTGCTAGAATTCATTTAACGACCACATGATTAGCTTAACAACTGCAGTGATTTGCTTAACAACTGTCATAAAAAAGGTCACAAATTGTGATCACATGACTGCAGGGGGGTGACAGTTTGAAGTGAGTGCAAGTTGTAAAGCACTTTTTCCAAGGTCATTGTAACTTTGAACAATTCCTAAATGAACAATCATTAAGCGAGGTCTACCTATATTTTCAAATGTTCTAAGTCAGCCCTAGGCATTCTGGTGCTCTCCTGTTCTTTCTACCTCAGTCCTACCCTAATGACAGCTGCTAGTTTTCTGAAAGGATATAAACAACTATAATAAATAATGACATAATTTTAAGTACTAAATCAACAACAGCGAAATTCTTTTCCTCACACTTCCCTTCCCGCCCTTTTTTTTTAGATGAATTCCTTGGGTTTCTCTAGTGATGTCTATTGGGCAGCATCTGAAAAATGCTGCACAGTGCAAGTCAGAAAATAATCTATTCACACAAAGCAGATGATCCTATGCCATTCTTTTTTACCTATATATATCTCCATACTAGTTTGTTTAGAAGATTATCTCCCTCACTCCCTGGAAACCATAACTTTAACCCCTTCTGCTCATATCTGCTGCTTTGGCCATAATGCCATTTTGGCTTGTTTCATGAGCACAGAAAAGTTTGAATCAGGAACAGAAAATTCTATGAGCTGCTTTGCAGAAAGTTTAAGTTTTTACTCTGGCCTTCTCCCATACCCATCAGAATCAGTTTCATGATTTAGTCTCACAACCACTTTGTTTTTTTCCATTTTCATTTAATGGTTCAGTGTGAAAATACAAGAGAAAATGTTTGTCTGTAGACTGACCTCAGTTCTACAAAAACCAGAGGGCTTTTTAAAAAAAAATTCATAATGTTTAGCTGTACAGAAATTGACATGCATAAGGAATACTGCCTAAGATCAGGACCACATTATACTTCTTTGTGCATACACAATTACATATGTACACACACAGACAGATGAATACATATGAAGTTCACATATCCTGAGCTGAGGAGTCCTTAATTTCAGCTGCAACTACAATCACACAGGAGCACTTTGGTGTACATCATTTTCACTCAGCTGGTACAACTCCAGGTCAGGCTTCCTATCAATATTTGAGTTGGAGGCCTTTGAAACTGACTGTAGCAAGTTCTACTCTTGTTGCAAAGGCAAATTCTCTGTCTTGCATACTGGGCTTAGCACCAATGGCCCATATGTAGACTTGTGCAGAAGCCCTGTTAAAACCAACGACACCATCTGATTTTCCATAGATACCTTTTAGAATCTCCCTTGTGTACAAGCCCTTTCCCCCCCACAAAAAAATCCACTCCCAGGATCCATAAAGATGTTCCTCAGAAACATTATTTCTTGCAAGATTTTAACAGTATATTGCCAACATTACAACCCCAGACACAAGAGTTAACAAGTTTCCACTTCAGTGCCTGACTTTACCCGTACGCTTTTCAAATTTCCCTTTCAATGTTCAGAAGGTGCTTTTCAAAAGCTCCAAGGATGCAGTAAAAAACAAAAACAAAACTATACATTCTGTTCTTAAGGTTAGGAATTTGCTGCATCCACCAAAAGCAGATCCCTTCAAAACAAAAACAAAACAAACCCAAAAAATTAAGTGATGCCACCAGATGCCAGGAAGAGGAAGAGCCCTCCCCACTCTCTGGAATCTTAACCTTGCACTAATGTTACATGATCCACTTTTCATTTCAGCACAGCAGGGATTACAAAATCCTGACCTGAGTTAACTATATAAAGAACTGTGATCATTGAGAAAAATCCAACACTTGTGGTAAAGACCCCATCAGCATCAGAAAGCTACAACAATATGCATTACAAAAACCATTCATCCTGGGAAATGGGGGGAGGTGAGGAAATATACAAAAAAGCACACAGAAACAGGCCCATTACACGCTATAAAAACAAGCAAAGAACCTGACTTCCGAAATAAACTCACAAAAGTGTTAAAAACCCAGACTCCTCCCACCCACCCAAAGTATTTCATTCTACCCACTCAGTGAGATGCAAACCAATGTCCAACAGGGGCTTAAAAGAGAGATCAGAAAAGAAAATGCACAAGCCCCATGGCAGAATGCTTACTGCCCTTCACAGAATCACAGGAACGTGTATCCAATTGTCTGAACAGTTCTCATCCTCCCTCCCCACTTTGGTTATGGTTCAGTGTGCCAGTCTGGCAGGTGAGGAGCGCGGTGAGGGCAGTCGATCAGCAGACGAAGAGCTGCTCAGGCTAGACTGAAGATAAACTGTCTTGTGAAATAGCTTGTTGCTAAGGAAGACGACCAAGGAAAAGAGGCGTAACTGGAAGTGGCTGAAATACAAGACAACCCCCGTTAGTTTCTTAGCATTTATTAAGATCCCTTTAATTCATGGACATATTCTGCATTAGAGCCTTTCAACGTACAAAATCTACCTAACACTAATTAATGACGTGAGAGGACAGTTCTTGCCATTTTTCTCTACTGCTGAAATGTTTTTCAATAGTGCAACTTTTAGACCTATGTGTTTTGTAACCAGCACAATCTTCTCTGCTTGCAATAACTATCATAGCTATTACGGCAGGAAATGATACACAGTATGATCTGCTTCATTGGGGCATATGCCTTAACTATATTTGTTCTTCCTGACAACAAAATCACCTTTTCCTTCTATTCCTCACTAGGCGTGAAATGCACTCAGTTACTCTAGCATGGGAGTGGGCAACCTCTGGCCCCATAAAGTCTTGCAGTTTTGTAGCCCTCCATATCCCCTCTTTTCATGACTGCTGGGCTATCAATTTTCTGCCATTTCTGAGATAGGGAAACATCTCAAGAACTAAGCTGTAAAATAGGCAGTTAAATAATAAATACCCCTCTTCTTCCCACAGGTGTAATATGGTTCTACCCACTTTGTGGCCCCATAATCCTCCAAAATACTGAATGCAACCCTTACCGGCTAATAAAAGCTTGCCAGGCTTATGTGGAAGTAAAAGACCCTGGCAATCTTCCCAATCAAGATTGTATACAGCAAGCCTATGCCAACTCACCATCAATCATAAATAGTACAGCAAAATGTTAATTTTATAGACCTAATACAGCAAACTTTGGATGCAGGAGACAACACTGAAGTTTGAACAACTTCAAATAACAAAGCCTACTGTTTCCAAAGCGTGTGGACCATTGACATAAATTCTTGAGAGTGTTGCAAATAACATACATAAATGTTACTTTATGTATGTGAATTGTGTATATTTGCATTTAACAGACATTTTCCCCCAGTTAGTCTGTAAAATCAAGAATTTACTGATAACCTCATTTTCAACACCGGGCAAAAATATCTAGTGAGACAATTAAGCAAAAAGAAATGAGCAGTTCAGCAATTTTAGGTAGACGGTAGTCCCTCGGTGGATCTCTCCTGGCTCGCTAATTTGTCAAGAACTTCTGCTGAAAAAGGGTAGGAATACCTACTATGCTTTTCCTGGTGTCTTCGATTCATTGGCGCTGATAATAAATAGAGGAAAAAGAATGGAGAACAAGCAGCCACTGTGGGGGAGAAGGGAGAGAAAATAGATGTAATTCAGGTCTTTCTGCAGACTAAAAAGAGAATGTATAAACTACCAAACAGAGATAGTCCTCGAGTTATGATTGAAATTGGGACTGGGATCACCGTTGCTAAGTGATGCGGTCATAAAGTGCGATGCCATGTCCCAGAGCACAGGGGTGCTGCAGGGGCCTGGGGGAGGCCCTGGGAGGCCTGGCACAGGTCACATGCAAGTTGGGGGGGTGCTTGGTGTGGTGCAAGCTCAGAAAGGCTGGGGAATGAGGCTGCGGGGTGCATGCGATCACAGGGAGGCCAAGGAAAGAAGATGTGGGGTGTGTGCGAGCGAAGGAGGGAAGGAGGGTGCGGTGCGCACAAGCGAAGAAAGGCAGGGGGGGAGACTTACCCCAGTGATTTGCAACCATCCTTGCCTTGCGGTCTTCCTTGCCAGCTTCCCATTGACTTTGCTTGGGGGAAACCAGCAGGGGAGGTTGCAAATGGTGATCATTTGATCGCAAGACGCTTGGCAATTGGCTGTAAGTGTGAATGGATTGCCAAGCACCCAGGTTGCAATCACTACTCCAAGACCAGCTTTTCAAAGACTTTGTTTCTATCGCTGTTTGCTTTTATCACCGTTCTGGGAATTCTCTTTTTCTCCTTCACCACTGCATCTGCACCAACTCTCTTTCCATTAACGCCATACCTACCTTTCCTCCTCTCCCTCCCACAGAAAAGAAAAAGGATGGAATGTCTCCAGTTTCTCAGTAAATCACCTGATAATGTAAGAAGACTGCATTGCAGTGAGAAAGGCCAGTGGTAACCCAAATCCAAAGTAATAAGGCCAGTTCCTTTCAATGTTGGATAATCGTTGATGCATTTCAATTCCTGGCAGGAGAAAAGCCAAAAACATATGGTTAAAGAATTAATGCTGAAACAACAATACTGGATTTCACATTCCAGGAGTTCTGATCCCAATAATTCCTTAGATACGTTAGCATTTTAGGAAGTGTTATGTAAATACACCTTCATCCCACATATCAGTATTTTATTTAACATTGCTGATAACAAAGACCACCAACCACCAGTAGCAGAGAAAGAATAAAATCTACTCTTGATTTTTCAGCTCTGCTTCTGCCATTGGAGAACTCTCCAAAATTCTACCGGAAGAGCGTTATATGGAATTTTTATACATTGGTGCAAAACCATCACAACACTTCAGAACAAAATAAGGGAATTTTTTTTTTATTAGTTACACTGAGAATGACAGTGGAAAGCGAGCAGGACTCACCTTTATTAAACCAACGGTATTCAAAGCAATACAGTGAGTAGAGCAGGGACATATGAAGCAGACTAATTAACTGGCCGATGATATCAATAGGAAACAGGCTCACAATCATCCCCTGGGGAAAGCAAGAAGAAATCAGTTTGAGAGATCGTTCCCTTCCATAGAAAACGGAGTTCTGTACCGCAGTACAAAAGCCCAATTCATTAGCCATATTATGAAGAGCCCAAGGAACTAAACAATACTTGATTCTCTTCTCCCCTGGTATGCTCTGCTCCACTCCCATTATTGGGGCACTACTAAAGTTGGATCCCAGTTCCAAACCCAACAAGTCCATGGCCATCATTCTTGGCTAGAACTCAAGGCTAGAAGTCCAGCTATGCACATTTGAACAACAAAACCTGGTCTGTTGTTCCCTCTTGCGTGCCAGGAGGACATGATTCCAAAAACTCTCCATTACAAGTGGCTCTGAAGAAGTGATAGTGTTAAGGTTGTGACTGGGAGAGAACTACCATGTAAATCAAACTGGCTAATGACTTATTTTTAAGATGGCATAATTCACTCCTTTTGGTATTTTTGCTTCAAGTACTCTTTCCCAGTCCTCTCTGCTTTTCCATCCTGTGATCCATTTTTTGTAAGATCTGCTGCATATAGGGTTCTGCATCTGGATGTCCTTCAAATACCGATGTCTATTACTCTTAGTGTCTGGACAGTCTGAGTTCAATGTTTTATTTCAATGTTCTTACCTGGATGAGAAAGAGAGCTTGCAGTAAGAGGTTAAACAACATGTCAGCAATGATTTTACTGACACTGGGGAAAGGCTGCGGCTTCCTTCCTGACACCTCAAATGCCAGATCAGCAATGTCCTGAAAGAGAAATAAATATTTGAGAAACTAATTCTTCAAGACAAGACTCTGTTCTTCTCATTTATTGATCTCCCGTCATCATAATTTAGTTTCAAAAAAGAATAAAAGTTATACACCATTTTGCATAGAAGTATATCCAAAGGTTTTGCATATCCAGAACCATAACTTCCACTGGGAAAAACGAATGTTATTATTCATGTACTTAGGAAACTATAATGCTTATACTGTCCTGAAAATCATCCCAGCTGACTAGTAAGATGCTATTCCCTAGCTTTTTTTCAGATGGAGCCTGCTGTCAGCATACAACTAAGATTAGAGCTAATTAGAAACTTCCATTGCCCACAGATGTTTCTTGATAACTAGTATTCTAGAATCTATTTTAGACACCAATGAGGTACTTTCTTCCAGTTTCATAATCACAACATATTGGTACATAACCACTCAATATTCATTTTATATGGGCTAAATTTGCAGATCAGTATTTATTCTGTGAAATAGCATGCATTAATGTAAAAACTAATATTTGTGTGTGGGGGGGGGAATAAGCAGGTACCAGATGCATATAAGGAAAGTGGCTTGGAGTTTGCAAGTAATAGTACCGATATATCTGGATGGCATAAGGATGGGAAAAACTGAGTCAGATAAGGTAAAATAGAATGTGTGTGCATACAAATAAACTAGCAACACCTTAACCACAACTTTAAAGACAATCACCATGAAGTCAGTAATAATCAGATTTACTTCTGAATAAATAGGGAAAAGATTGCAGTCTTGAGTATCCCTCATCATGTGAAAAAACACTGTACAGTATATCAAGATGTGTTTTATGTGACATAGCCAAGAAGCACTATGTCACGGGGTATCACTTTCCCAGAAAAATTACCTACCTGAAACCAAATGGCATTAACAACTTTACTGAGCACAAAGAGGGGAAGGACCCAAAGGGCACTGAAGATGGACGTGAGGATAAATTCCAACCAAGACCAGACATCACCATGTAATGAGGGGTCGCCTTCCAAAACAGAGACAACATTTTCAACAGTAGTAAGTACAAATGACAATTTAGGTGCCTTATCTGAACTGCTATATCAGAAAAAAGAAAATGCATCTTCCCTCTACAAATCTGGCCACAGGTTGATAATAGATCAGTTAATGTAGACAGGACCATAATTATAGCTTCCTTTCATTCAAAAGTGTTATTTCATCCAACACATTTTTTTACAAAAATATCCTCCTAGATATCGTTCTAATTTTGGCTATCCTTTAAGAAAATGCCTTTGCCACTTTAACGGCTTGTTTATTTCTGGTTCAAAAATTATAGACTTTGCATATCTGAGATGAAGTCAGAGAAAGCATTTCTATTCCTGTAATAAAACTTGCAGCAGCCTGCATATTCGCTGAGTATAAGTATCTGAATGGTGTTCAGCAGGAATCACTTCCAAATAAAACTACCTTAGTATTGGGCGGCTAGCAATTTATTAGTACTTGCTATTTTTTTTCCAAAAATCCCAGAGCAGGAGGAGAAACTCTAAAGGCCCATAAGACAGAAGCAAGAGAAAGTGATGCCCTGATGAAAGTTTGGCTCAACTACAATCATATCAAGCTATGACTTGCTGAATAAACTACAATTGGTTGGATTCATACTTTGTGCTGAAACATAAACAACAGTTTACAACCACAATATTTCAGTTGACACAACACATTAAGCCAAAGCCCAACAAATTTCATTATGGCTTCATGCAATGCTATATATCTAGTTCCTTTGAAAAACTGTGGGAACATGATAGGATCCTCCTTAGTTCTCTTTGTTAAAAAGTTGTAAAGAAGCTCTTTACGTATTCTATACCATTCAATATAATGTTCGACAAAAAAAATTTAAACTCCTGCCCATCAGTTCTTAATTTTTTCTTCTTATGTGATAAAGTGTGTATACCACTTAAGTTTCCCAACAACATCAAAGCATGAAAAATGCTATTGGAGATATTAGCCTTCAGCCTAAAGAATAGATCTCAACTTGTAGTACCATGTGGCAGAGAGTTTAAAAAGACCTGGAGTAGGAATAAAAAAGCTACTTTATCTACACTTAAAGAATGTATGTTTTGACCTTTTCACTCTTATTTGAATGAGATTAGGAAAATAGAGTACCATGTTGCAGTTTTGAAAATGGGGAGCAGGGGAGGAGAGTAGGATAGATTCAAAACAACAAATTGTATACTTGTCCATCATGACATAATTGCCTAATCTAGACACAACGAATTATTTACTTGACAAAGAAGGCTAAATGCCTTAAACAGCAATATACTTACCAATTACATGTGCTGTTGCTGATTGAAGCAGAGGTATGAATACCCGGTAGAACAAGAGGAGGCTAAGCTAAAAGAAAAAAGCAAGAAGGAATAATTCAGTTTTAACTATTCTTTTTTAAATGCATATGCTGCAATGGGGAAAAATTTTTTCCCAAGGTCCACAAAATACAGTTCTGCTGTTTTCTATAGTTGATCTTCAATCCTGATATCTCAGCGCATATTTCTGAATTTCTTAGTGAAATTCATGGTTTTCCCCAAGTACATGCACAGGTAAACGTATGAGCAGATAAGAACATACATTATTATCATGATGAATCTTTACAATTATGACCGCTCCAGCACACACATCCATTCTATGGGGAAATCATAATAGGGAAAAACATAGCAAAAAGAACAGTAAAATGCTATAGACACATGCAAACTTTCCCTAAACTGAAATTAGGGATATACTGTAAAATGCTTTGGATCCACAGCCAAAAAGGCACTTGGAAAAGGTACAGGACCACATGCCATACCCGTCAGTACCTCCTCAAAGAAACTGCATCTTTTCTTGGGCTTGTACAGTACTGTAGTCTTTACAATCCCAGGAAAACATGCATTTGAATTATGAAGATACCAAAAAGTGTGATGAGGTGCTCTGGAATAGGAGTGGGCATCCTGTCAACAGCCTCTTAACTCAAGCATATATTTCCTGGGATTGCATGGCTATTGGGTGAGTCCAGGAAATGATACAGCTTCTTTAAGAAGGCACTGACAGGTACAGTGTTTATACTCACACCTGTTCTGAAGCACTTTTTTGGTCTGATTTAAAGCACTGGTGAATTGAAACACTGCTTGCAGACAGAGACCACGAACCCAACCTTTTGATTAACAACTGAGTTCACAGATCTCATTTGTATCGCAGTCACATTTATCAACCTATTTTGGAATCATAACCTAAAAGCCATTATCGCTAGTTTAATTCAAGAACTGTTAGACATCAGAAGTGTGACTGCAGAATAGTATACGCAGTACTGCTCATTTACCCTTCCAAAAATACCAGATTTAAATTTTGAGAAATCCAAAGCCTGCGCTAGACCTACAGAAGTTAAATTCACAGCAATATAAATTATACTATTGCTACAATATTTACCAATTTGAAGCACCTGGAATTACTTAATTAAAAAGAGAGACAGCTGTGCTATTGACATAAGCAGGGAAATCCAATGTAACAAATTTTCACTTCATTTCCACTGACGTTGCTCCATGTATTTCTAAGCTCTGCTGTATATATACAACCTGGAGATCTAGAGGCATGCTGTACAGCTTGTAAGTAAAAGCCTAGATTCTATGTGGCAAGGTACATTTTGCATATATGGAACACTAGACATCATTTATCATAGTATCCAGAAACAACAAGCATTCAATTAAAAGGAAACCATATGAAATCTCTGTGTGTGCAAACATGCACTCCCCCAGACATACACATTAAACAGGAGAGTTCAAACAAGAACAATTTTCTTTCCATATCTCAGTGCTATTTCTTTAAACCCAGACTCTAAATGAAAACTTAAAATGTACAATCAATAAATAACACAGGATGTAAAATATCCAATATGTCAGTCACAATGACAATCACATAATACTCTGTTCAACACTAGACTGGATGGACAGATGCATTCACGCTGGCTGAGAAATTCATTCAAGAATGAAAGGACTAGAAATTATTCAGCAGCATGGAATTTAGACAGAACTGTGCCTCACAGACATTTTGTGGTAGGCCAACAATTTTATGGCAGTGATGATTAGCAACAAAACAGCACAAGAATAAAATTAGGCTCCATTTGTACACATGGGCCCCAAACCAGTTTATATGTATTAAAAAAATATTGGAGTGGGATATTAAAACATTGGTAGTCCTGCATCTAACAAGGCTAACTATTTAAATCTTAACTAATCCTTATCTGAGAAATGGTAATGATTTCAATCACTATTCAGTTTGTTTCTCAGTTTGCAACATTGTCCAATTATGTAATCAAAGCAAGTCAGCATATTTGCAAAAAGAACAAAGCAACTGTTTCAAATTATGTTGCTGTTCTTTTTTTAAAAGAAGCAGCAAAATATACTTACCCAAAATACACCTCCATTCCATGCACAACACTGAAGTATTCGGCTTACTATCCGGGGTTCACTATAGAAAAAGAAAAGAAAAATGCAAAAACCAAAGCCAACATCTACTTTTAAAACCACAACTATTTAAACACAGAAAGAGAAAGGAGTGCTTCAGACAGGGAAGCAGATTCTTTCGACTGTGTGGCATCAATCTATTTGCAACCATAAAAATGCAAAAACATCAATTTCCAATATCCTAATTAAATTTCAAATTGTTGGGAGCCTCATTTGGAAAAACTATTTTAAAAGTTGGGGTTTACATGCCAGTTTTCCTTCTTTTTCTCTATTATTTGCTAAGCCTATTTAGGCATTCATAATTTAACTATCCAGCATTACATGAAAGTATATGTAGAACTGGTTATTGTTTAGTACCTAAGAGAAATGTGCAGCCTTTTTTCCTTTCTTTTTCACAAAGTAAACCTTTTTTTAAAAAAATGTGCAATTATAACTACAGAAGCTATTGGGCAAGAGACTAAATTTAATATTTATTTATTTATTTATTAAATTTCTCACCCGCCCATCTCCCCACAATGGGGGAACTCTGGGAGGGCGGAGCTGGCGTCGCGGCGATACGGCGGGCGATCC